CAAAAGGGGATTCCATCCTTCCCTTGCTGTAGAATGGCCAACTGGACAGTTTCCTTCTGGTTGCTTGCCAGATGAGGGTTTTGTCCTCATATAATAGAGGAAGTACACCCTTTTGTAGCGGTGCACTGTCTTTTAAGGTAAAGGGATTTGTTGTCCTGGTCTTTAAGACCTTCGTAGCACTTATCACAGGGCCAATTTTCACTTTCCACTCACTCAAATAAAGAGATTCCAAGGGGAGATTACAAAGTGAGATGGCAGAAACTTGAGTTTATCCACAAGTTCAGAGCGATGGACCCCTCCCCGGGGGCTGAATTCTTATCTCACTACAGATGTTAATTTTCTCCCCCTCCCCTGCATTTTCCCTCTTGCCCTAATCTATCTGATTGCAATATGCATTGTACCTTTGCATCCTTAGAATCGTAGAGTTGGAAGGGACCTCCAGAGTTATCTAGTCCAACCCCCTGCAAAGTGCAGGAAATTCACAAATGCCTCCCCCCATGCCCCCCAGTGACCCCTGCTCCATGCCCAGAAGATGACAAAAAACCTCCAGGATCTCCAGCCAAACCGGCCCGGAGAAAAATTGCTTCCTGACCTCATTCAAGTCCAGTGGCACCTTTAAAACCAACAAAGTAGAATCCTAGACTCACGTTCTAGCTGTATCTGAAGAAGTGAGCCGTGACTCACGAAAGCTCCTCCCCTGCCACATATCTGGTGAGTCTTGAAGGTGCTCTTGGAGTCTTGCTCTTTTCTACTGCTACAGACAGACTAACACGGCGGCCCATCTTGATCTGTCTGGGTACAAGCTTTTGTGTGCATTACAGGAGAGCCAGTTTGGTGTCGTGGTTAAGCGTGTGGACTCTAATCTGGGAGAACCGGGTTTGATTCCCCACTCGTCCGCTTGCACCTGCTGATGGGACCTTGGGTCAGTCGCAAGCTCTGGCACAGCTGTCTTTGAGAAACAGCAGTTTGTGTCAGAGTTCTCTCAGCCCCACCCACCTCACAGGGCGTCTGTTGTGGGGAGGGGAAGGGAAAGGAGTTTGTAAGCCGCTCTGAGACTCCAAGTGAAGGGCGGGGTATGAATCCAATCTCTTCTTCTTCTTCGGATCTGAAGTAATACGCATGCACGTGAACGCTTGTGCCCAGAATTAAATCCTGCCTTCCCCAGGCTCCACCCCCAAATCTCCTGGAATTTCCCCGCCCAGAGCTGACAACCCTAGAAAAAATCCATGGCGCGCCCCTTGACACTGGATGGCCTCAGTCCCATCAGCGGCACCCTCCGGAGGGGAGGTACAGTATGTCTTTCTGCACAAAACATACATTGCCCTCCCTGTAACATACAATCCTGCCCTCTGAGCAGGCTAGCCTGCTGTTATCAGGTCTTGGAAGTTAAGCAGGGTTGGCCTTGGTCAGTATTTGGATGGGAGGCTGCCAAGGAATACCAGGGCTGTAACACAGAGGCGGGCAATGGCAAACCACCTCTGCAACGTCTCTTGCCTTGGAAACCCATGAGGGGTCACCATAAATCAGCTGCGACTTGATGGCAAAACTGCCCGGGGGGGGCAACATTATAACGGCGACCAGGGGTCATTTCCTGCAGGAGCGCACAGGAGCGGAGCTCCGGCAGTAAGGAGCCCAAGGGGCGGGCACATGCAACAAGCCCCTCCCCCTGCTCCCAGCAGCCCTCAGTTGGGCCATGAGCAGGGGTCATTTCCTGCAGGAGCACACAGGAGTGGAGCTCCGGCAGCAAAGAGTCCAGGGAGCAGGCACATGCAGCAAGCCCCACCCCCTGCTCCCAGCAGCCCCGGGCCATGAGGAGCAAGAAGCAGCCAGGTAAGTAGCATTGGGTGTTGCCTTCTGACACACTTCTGGTGATGTCAGGGGGTGTGACATATGCAAATACATTATCCTAATGAGTTATGCTAATGAGCTCCTGCACCTCTTTTTCTACAAAATGACCCCTGGCCATGAGGAACAAGAAGCAGCCAGGTAAGTTCCAGAGCCCCCCCCCCCCCCCCCCCCCTCCCCCCTCACACCCACTCTCCCTCTCCCGCCTTCAGGTACAAGCTCTCCCTCCTCTATGAGGGCAGATCTGTGTGTTCCCCCCCCCAATAGCTAGCAATCCAAAACAGTCCAGTGGAGCCTGAGCGGTGGGTATTGCCTTCTGACACACTTCCAGTGATGTCAGGGGGGCATGGCATATGCAAATAAGTTATGCTAATACGTCATGCTAATGACTTCCTGCACCGCTATTTCTACGAAATGACCCCTGACGGCGACCATTTTATTTCATACACCCCCACTTTTCTCCCCAACGGGAACTCAGAGTGGCTTCCCATCTTTCTCTTCTCCTCCACTGTATCCTCACAACAACCTTGTGAGGTAGAAAAGGCTGAGACCATGTGACCGGCCCAAGGTAGGGTTGCCAGATCCATTGGAAATGCCGGCGGGGGTATGGAGGGGGGACGTTCCAAGAGCGGGAAGTGACATCATGCAACATGCCTACATCACATAGGCGTGTCAGTGGTGTCAGGGGCGACATTCTGGTTTTTGGGCAAAACTCTATGGTAAAATCAGCCTCAAATGACATCATGACATTCTCTGGCAGCAAATCCCACATTTTTATCACTCTCTGTGGAAATTGGTATTTCCTTTTGTCTGTCATAGAACCATAGAATCATAGAGTGTTAGAGTTGGAAGGGACCTTGCAGGTCATCTGGTCCAACCCCCTGGCAGGAGCATAGCCGAAAGATAGCTCTACAACATACCCAGAAGATGGCCGTCCAGCCTCCACTTGAAAACATCCAGCGAAGGAGCATCCACCACCTCCCGAGGCAGACTGTTCCACTGCTCAACCACTCTTACAATGAGGAAGATTCTCCTGATATTTAGCAGGTATCGACTCCCTTGTGATTTCCACCCATTAGATCTAGTCTTGCACTCCGGAGCAAGAGAGGATAGATCTGCTCCGTCTTCTGCATGACAGCCCTTCAAATACTTGAGGACTGCAATCCTGTCCCCTCTAAGCCTTCTCTTTCCCAGGCTAAACCTACCCAACTCTTTCAGCCTTTCCTCCTAAGACTTGGATTCCAACCCCCTCACCACCCTGGTTGCCCTCTTCTGGACACGCTCGAGCTTCTCAACATCCTTCCTGAAATGTGGTGCCCCAAACTGGACACAGTCCTCCAGGTGAGGCCTGACCATAGCAGAATAGAGCGGAACTACCACCCCCTTTGATCTGGACACAATGCTTCTTCTGTTAATGCATCCTAAGATTGTGTTCGCTTTCTCCGCAGCCACATCACACTGCAGGCTCATGTTTAGCTTGTGATCAGCCAGAACACCCAGACCCCTTTCACAGGTGCTGCTCTCAAGCCAAGTCCCTCCCGTTCTATAGCTGTGCCTGTCCTGAACCTACTGCCCATCAACTTCATCGGATGCCCTCAAGTTCTAGTCTTTTGGGAGAGGGAGAAAAAGTTCTCTCTCTCTTTTTTTTTTAACCAAAACAATTTTATTAGCTTTAACAATAAAGTACACCAAAGAGAAAACGTTCTCTTCGTCAACTCTCTCCACCCCATGCATCATGTCATAGAATCACAGAGTCGGAAGGGGCCATCTAGTCCAACCCCCTGCTCAGGGCAGGATCAGCCTAGAGCATCCCCGACCAGTGTTCCCTCTAAGCCGAGTCAGTGTGAGCTAGCTCACAGTTTTTTAGCCTCCGGCTCACACATTGTTGTCTCAGCTCAGGAAGGACGGCTCCAGAGCAAACTAAGTTATGCAGAAGTCGAATCGCTCGCTCACAACTTCAATGCCGGTAGCTCACAAAGTAGACGTTTTGCTCACAAGACTCCACAGCTTAGAGGGAACATTGTCCCTGACCAGTGTTTGATAGAACAGAGAACATAGTCGTCTCTTTTCTCAACTGAAAAGTCCCAGACTCTTCAGCCTTTCCGGTGCTCCAACCCCCTAATCATCTGGGTTGCCCTCCTCTATATTTCCCCCACCACCACTCTCTGTACTTCTTCTCCTCTCGCAGGTCCCATGGCTTGCTTCTCAGACTTGCTTCTCAGACTGCCTGGCCGTGACCAGGACTCCGATCTCTAGGACTAGTATCAGACACGACCTCCTGCTTACACAACACCCCACTGCCCACCCGGGGCTCTAGCCCTTCCAGTGTGGTGTCGTGGTTAAGTCTGCAGACTCTAATCCGGGAGAACCGGCATTGATTACCCACTCCTCCACTTGCAGCTGCTGGATGACCTTGTGCAAGCCATAGTTCTGGGCTCTTTTTGTAGCAGGGACTCCTTTGCATATTAGGTGACACCCCCCCTAATGTAGCCAATCCTCCAAGAGTTTACGGTAGCCCCTGTAAGAAGAGCTCTGTAAACTCTTGGAGGATTGGCTACATTAGGGGTGTGTCGCCTTATATGCAAAGGAGTTCCTGCTACAAAAAGAGCCCTGTAAAATTCTCTCAGAGCTCTCTCAGCCCCACCGACCTCACGGGGTGTCTGTCGTGGGGAGGGGAAGGGGAAGGAGTTTGTAAGCGGCTCTGAGACTCCGAGTGAAGGACCAGGTATAACTCCAATCTCCTCTTCCTCTTCTTCCATAGCCAGGTTGGTCTGCTTGGACTCAGTCCCAGCTAGGGTCACCAGATCTGGGTTGGAAAACACTTAGAGACTTTGCGGGTGGATCCAGGAGGGGGCGGGGCTTGGGGAGGGGAGGGGCCTCCGCATGGTGCAGTGCCATAGACTCCACCCTTCAAAGCAGCCACTTTCTCCGAGGGAGCTGATCTCTCAGCCGGAGATCAGCTGTAAAAGCGGGAGGTCTCCAGGCCCCACCTGGAGGCTGGCAACCGTAATCCCAGCTGACCCTGACACAAAACAGTCAGTCCATCGATCAGTCCCCATTTCCTTTGCCCTTGGATTTTGCATTCTTTCCCTCCCTGGACTTTCGCAGCAGCAAAAAGCAAGGGGACCTCACCGAAGCACCCAACGTTGTCTTACCAGCATGGATGGCCGCTGCAGTTGGTCCCTTAACGAGACTTAATGGTTCCTTTGGCATGGAGGTGGAGCTGGCCCAGGGCGGGATAGAGTTGTCAGGCTTTGGGTGGCCAACGGCTAAAGCACCTGTTTTGGGGAGAGGACAAACGTGGTAGTACCGACCTCGAGCAAAACCAGGTTGCATCCTGATGGGGCCGCTCGAAGAGGAGGGCAGCACCCAGCACAGGGCAAAAAAACAAGAGGCTAGCCGAATGAGGAAAGGCAGAGGGACTTCGGAGCAGGGGTCATTTCCTGCGGGAGCGCACAGGAGCAGAGCTCCGGCAGTAAGGAGCCCAGGGGGCAGGCACGTGCAACAAGCCCCGCCCCCTGCTCCCAGCAGCCCTCAGTTGGGCCATGAGGAGCAAGGAGCAGCCAGGTAGGTTGCAGAGCCCCCCCCCCCGGCCTGCCTTCAGGTACAAGCTCTCCCTCCTCTGTGAGGGCAGATCTGCGCATCCCCCCCGCCAATAGCTAGCAATCCAAAACAGTCCAGTGGCACCTTTACGACAAGCTACTCTGTGAGGGCAGATCTGAGCGCCCCCCCAATAGCTAGCAATCCAAAACAGTCCAGTGGCACCTTTAAGACCAAGTTTTATTCAGGTACAAGCTCTCCCTCCTCTGCGAGGGTAGATTTGCGCCCCCCCCAATAGCTAGCAATCCAGAACAGTCCAGTTGCACCCTTAAGACCAAGTTTTATTCAGGCACAAGCTCCCTCTCCCCTGCGAGGACAGATCTGCACATCCCCCCCCCCAATAGCTAGCAATCCAAAACAGTCCAGTGGAGCCTGAGTGGTGGGTGTTGCCTTCTGACACACTTCCGGTGATGTCAGGGGGTGCGGCATATGCAAATGAGTTATGCTAATAAGTAATGCTAATGAGCTCCTGCACCTCTTTTTCTACGAAATGACCCCTGCTTGGGAGTGTTCAGTCTGGAGAAGAGGAGGCTGGGGGGGGGGGATTGCTCTCCCGAAGTATCTGAAGGGCTGTCACTTAGAAGAAGGCAGGGAGCTGTTCCTGCTGGCAGCAGAGGAGAGGACTCACAATCATGAGTTTAAATGAAGGGCGGGAAGGTATTTCCTTCCTTCCTTGTTACAGTCAGAGTTGTGCCACAGTGGAATCAGCTGCCTAGGGAGGTGGTGAGCTCCCCCTCACTGGCAGTCTTTAAGCAGCGCCTGGACAAACCCTTGTCAGGGATGCTCTAGGCTGATCCTGCACTGGGCAGGGGGTTGGACTAGGTGGCCTCTATGGCCCCTTCCGACTCTGGGATTCTAGGATTCTAATTTGTGCAGGGAGACTTAATTTTAATTCCCTCAGTGAGAATCCCTACACATTTGGCATATGCTTCATAAAATATCAAAGACTGGACTTTGGGTCCTCAAGGTTTCCCTTGCTCAAAAGCCAGTCAAATCCAACTCTAGGGGGCGGTGCTCATCTCTGTTTCCAAGCCGAAGAGCCAGCACTGTCCAAAGACGTTTCCGTGGTTATGTGGCCAACATGACTAGATGCCAAGGTGCACGGAATGCCGTTACCTTTCTACCGAAGCGGTACCTATTTATCCACTTGTAATTTCTTGCTGTCGAACTGCTAGGTTGGCAGGAGCTGGGACCAGAGACGGGAGCTCACCCCGTCACACGGCACTCAGATCTCGAACTGCTGAGCTACAGATCTTCCAGTCTGTAGCTCAGCGTCTTAACCTCTGAGCCACCGCTGCCCATATATGTGTGTGTGTGTGTGTATTTTAAAAAAACAACCCGGTGGGGGAGGTGTTAGCCGGCGACTGGAATGCTCAGCTCGCAAGATTGAAAGCCTAAGAAAAAATCTCTTCAACTCCGAGAAGCCTGTAATGGGACGTTCTGGCCAGGCGGTGGCAGTGCGGCGCCGCAAGACCTGGAGAAGCTGACGTCCTGTAGCCAAGCCGAAGTGAATATGCCGACGGAACACGTCTGACCCTGCAGCTGAACAAACCCTCGCCGACTGTGAATGTGTGTGATTAAAAGATATATGTTGTCCTCCCTTACCCCCATAAATCATTGTTTTTGTTGTTGTTCAGTCGCACAGTCGAGTCCGACTCTTCGCGACCCCATGGACGAGCTCTCTCCAGGCCTTCCGGTCTTCTGCCGTCCTCTGAAGTTGGCTCAACTTCATGTTCGTTGCATCGATGACACTGTCTAACCATCTCATCCTTTGCCGTCCCCGTCTTCTTTGCCCTTCAA